TTCCCATCACAGTGATATTAATAGTTCAGAGCAGAACCCTACCAGAACGATGGAGGTTTTGTTGCAGATCAGGGTGTGGGGCTTGACTCTTCTCCCTCAGCCTCATCTGAGCAGACAGCTCTGGTATTTCAGTAAAGGACAGTGTGGAGCAGGGCAGGCTCGCAGGGCAATGCTGGCTGTCTTCCTCCTGCAAAGGACAAGACCAGCTTGACAGCCCCCAGTGCCAAAAATGTGACTCCAGCCATGGTGCCCTGAGAGCCTCCAGGCCCTGCCATGAACAGGGAGAGCTTGAGCTGGGCCTCAGTGGTGTCTGAGGCTGCAGCCCTTCGGCAGGAGTCTCTTCCAGGTCTGTCTGTGGAGCCTGTGGCCAGGGCTAGTGCCTGCTTGTCAGGTGTCTGTTGTGTTTGTGCTCCGGCCTGTGCCTCCGTTAACTCTGTTGTTCTGACCCCAGCCTGGTTCTGGCCTCTGCTCTCCCCCAGCACATGCTTCAACTGGTTTGCTCGGGCCTCAAGGCTGGGATAGGAGCAGCCGTGGAGTTTGCATGGTGTCTGCACTACATCATTTGTAGGTAAAGTGCTTTTCTCTCCTCATTTTGCGTTCCCCAGGGGCAGCCAGAGAGGCTCAAAGGCTCAGGGTCCTCTGAGGGGACCTGAATTGCCTCCCCTTGCTTCTTCCCCTTGAGAAAGCAACTTCCCTGCCATCCTGGCCGTTCCCACTCCATCTGATCATGGAGTTCCTTTACAAGGTCATAACAGGTGATAAACATGAGGAGGCTGTTTCTAGTCCTCTGAACCCCTGCAAATCATCTCCCCATGGCTGGAGTTGTCCCCCACACTCCCTAAATCCTCATGCTCTGGGGCTTGCCCAGTGTCACCTGGCCAGGCTGGCTGCTCTCTGCCTTGGTGTGGCTGCTCCAGTGCCATCTCTTTCAGCAGCCCCAGCAGAAAGGGATGTGTGGGTACTTGAAGGATTGGGGCTGTTTCCAGACCCACACAGGTAACTCCAGTGGCTCTGTTTTCCATGGGCTTTTAAACTTAATCACAGGCTGCTGCTCATACAAGAAGGAAGCCCTGTGGTGGTTCAGGAGAATGCTCTGAGTTCCCAGGCCCTGTTATTGTGCAGGGCTTCAGCAGTTTTCCCTCTCTGAGCACCACGAGCACCCATATTGCCTCCTCCCTTTGCAGCCAAACAGCCAACACAGCTCTGCTGTCACTGGGGGCTTTGCCTGCCCTCACCTCAGTCTTGCTCGACCTGGCTTCTGAACCCCCTCCAGATGCTGCTGAGGGCCTGGAGCTGGTAAGACACGGGCAGGGCACTGAGCACTGGCTGTTCTCAGCAGCACTGTGGGGATATGGTCAGGTAAAGGGCTCTGTGTTCCCACTGTCACAGCTCGTGTGCCCGGTGCTGCGGTGCCTCAGCAACCTGCTCGCAGAGGACACAGGCTGTGAAGTGCAGGTGCAGGATGAGCGCCTGCTCATCGCCATCTTCCTCATCCTCCAGAGCTTCCTCCAGCAGCACCCCTTCATTGCCCAGGAGTGTCTCTGGCTGCTGAACAACCTCACAGGTGAGCGCCCCACAGAGCCAGAGCTGCTGCCAGGCCCTACCTCAACTGCTGGCAGCCTTGTCTGCAGAGACCCACTCAGAACCTCAGTTTTGCTGACACGTTCCTCCCCTGCCCACCCCAGCACATGAGCCCTTCTTCTGCTCTGCTCTGCTCTCCCTGGACCTGCTCCCAGCCCTGCTGCAGCTCCTGCCCTGTTCCCAGATGGCTGCTGTGTTGGTAAGACCTCACCTTGTGCTCTGGGTCTGGAGGGAAGCACTGGGCTTTCAGGAGCTTTCAAAAGCGGTGCTGCCCCATCCCTGGCAGTGTTCAAGGCCAGGCTGGACAAGGCTTGGAGCAAGCTGCACATTCACTGCTCATTTCCTGTCATGGTTTCTCCACCTAGGTCCTGACAGTTGTGTGCAATATAGCAGCGAAGGGACCAGTGTTCTGCCAGCAGCTGCACCAGCAGCTGGCCCTGCCCCTGCTGCTGCCCACCCTTACACTGCCCGACCCCGAGGCTGTGGGGCAGTGCTTGGAGCTGCTGCACCTCCTCTTCCTGCACTGTCCAGAGGTAAAAGCCCAGAATCAAGACCGAGATGGGGATGATGATGATGATTTAAATGCATTCTGTCATTGCCCCACTACCCCCCACTCCTCAGCACTCAAACACATGCCTGAAGTGGGGTACTCGCATGAGGCAGATGGTGGAAGTGCTTACACCCTTCTGTGCCTTCTTTCACTGACAAAGGGGGCCTACAAGAAAGCTGGAGAGGGGCTTTGTGCAAGGACCTGTAGGGACATGGCTTTAAACTGACAGAGGGCAGATTTAGATCTCTTTACTATGAGGGTGCTGAGGCGCTGGCACAGGGTGCCCAGAGAAGCTGTGGCTGCCCCATCCCTGGCAGTGTTCAAGGCCAGGTTGGACACAGGGGCTTGGAGCAAGCTGCTCCAGTGGAAGGTGTTCCTGCCCATGGCAGGGGGGTGGAACAGGATGAGCTTTAAGGTCCCTTCCACCCCAGTCTGTGAGTCTTGACAATTGTTTTTTGGGGCAAGTTGTTTGTACAGTTTGAGGTTATTATGGGGGGGGGATTCTTTTGATTCAGTTGTGGTTACTTCAAGCTCTGTGCATGCCCAGCCAGCAGTCACCATGACTGGTTCACCTGACTTGGGACTTCAGTGTCTGGGAGTTCCTTCAACCCCATTCCCAGTGGTGGCTCTGGGCAGACAGGGTCATCTGGTGGAGCTACTTGAGTGGCACACTGCAACTGTCACCCCTCTCCTCTCTCACAGGCTGCAGCGGACTTCATCAGACAAGGTGGGCACCAGGCCCTGGAGCAGCACCAGAGCACCCCAGAGCTCCAGGAGCGGGCACGAGCACTGTTGGACATGGTGGGGCAGTCCCTGGGCAGTCCATCTTCTCCCAGGCCACCTTCCTTCCCTCCCCCTGTGCTCTGAGGAGGGGTAGGTCCGTGCTCACACCATGCCCTGCTTTCCCAAGGACTGGTCAGTGGTCTGACCCCCAGCAGTAAGCACCAGTGCTGGCTGCACAGGTACACTGGTCCTTGGCAAGATAAGGCTGTTTCCATCCTTGTCACCATCTCAGAGCTACCAGGAGAATGCCCTGTGCTTTCCATGGGCTTGGTGCAGGGGCAGAGCTGGGCTGGAACCCAAAGCAGGCTCCTGATGCAGGGAGGTGATGGATAAACCCCACTGGATCCCTCCAGTGTCTCCTTTTGGCTTTAAAACCCAACATATGAAGCTCAGGGTAAGCACATTGCTTTTATGTGATTGATAAGTTAAAAGATACATGTTTTACATTAAAGATCATCAGTCAGGTTTCAGCACGTGTGTGTTTACTGCCTGTCTTCACCCTGTGCTCTTCACAATGGTCTCCAGGGCCTTGGCCACTTCATCCGCACTCAGGTTGTTCAGAGGCACACTCCTTTCCCTGCCAAACTCTGCAGGAAAGACAGAGGGTGAGGGGGAGAGGCAGTGCCTTGGTCCTTCTCTGCTGCAAGGGCAACCCAAAGCCCTGCCCTAGTTTCCCAAGCGTCACAGCCCAGGTGCCCATCACCACCCTTCACACCCACCTCTCCCATCTGTTACCCTGTGTGTGAAATACTGCTTCTACTTTGTGCTCCCAGCCTGTCCTTGGGGAGAAGCCAATGGAGCCCAATGTGTTTCCATGCCTTTTTGTTAACTCCTGCTGCACAGCAGCTGGGCAGAGGCCAGTACCACATCCCAAAGCAACCTGGTGGCTTCTGGCCTGCTCACGCAGAGATGCTCCCCAATGCTTCAGTGCTGAAACCCAAGTTGTTCCTACAGCAGCCCTTGCCTGGGGGGGTGTGCTCCTCCAAGTCACATCCAGACAGGAGACAGGCGCACTACACCAAGAGGCCCTATGGCCCTGTGTGCTTACACTGGGAAACTTGCTAAAGAGTGATTGCATCTCTTTGAAAGAAAGTTTCTAACTTACTTTTTTCCACCCCAGGTGGCATTAAGAAACAAAGCCATCACAGAGGAGCTTTTCTGCTCCTTCATTGGCCTTTCCCAAATAATGCCATGAAAACAGGAACAAGCAACCTTCCAGTATCTGAAGGGGGCTACAAGGGTGCTGGAGAGGAACTCCTCATCAGGGACTGTAGTGATAGGACAAGGGATAATGGGTTCAAACTTAAACAGGGGAAGTTTGGATTGGATATAAGGAAGAAGTTCTTTCCTGTTAGGGTGGTGAAGCACTGGAATGGGTTGCCCAGGGAGGTTGTGAATGCTCCATCCCTGGCAGTGTTCAAGGCCAGGGTGGACAGAGCCTTGGGTGGCATGGGTTAGTGGAAGGTGTCCCTGACCATGGCAGGGGGGTTGGAACTGGAGGTGCTTTAAGGTCACTTCTAATCCAAACCATTCTATGATTTCACTGTGTAAGGGTCCTACAGGAGCAGGAGATCACAGCCACGAGTTGCAAGGCACCTCCAGAGCCGTAAATCCCTTTCCTGCCCCACACGAGGTCCCTACACCTCCTCTACTTGCTCCTCGCAGTGTCCTTCGCTAAGGCCGCACAGCCCCGGGCCGTGCTTCCACTCACCGAAGCGCGCCCAGAGCCGCGGCTGCACCCCGGAGCACTCGCGGATCAGGATGGGGAAGTCGGGGTTCGCCTTCTTCAGGGTCACGTAGTGCTGCTCGATGAAGTCTCTGGGAAGGGAGGGCAGAGGAACCCGGGTCCCTGGGCTGCTCACCCCCCAGCGCCCGTGCGCGGCGGCTCCAGCCCGGGTTCTACCCCCCGGTCCCCAGCTCACCTGACGCCGCGGCTGCCCGCGGAGCGCTGGCAGAGGTGGAAGCGCAGCTCCCGCAGGCCGCGACCCAACCCGCTCCCGATGCCCCTCACGGCCGCCGCCATCTTCCCTGCGCTCCCCACCACAACACGGGGGCGTGGCCTCGGTGCCGGCCAATGGCAGCGCCCGCCGCGGGGCTGCTGGGAAGGGGAGCGGAGGTGTCGAGGGGCCGCGGAGGGCAGCGGGGATCAGGCTCGGGGCACGATGCCGGAGCGCGACAGTGAGCGGGGACCGGGGGGCGGGCGGGCACTGCGGGGCCCCGGGGCACCCGAGACACCCGGGCGGGGGAGGGAGGTGGCGGCAGCGGCACTCCTGGAGTGCGGAGCGGCCTGGCCTGGCTCGGGGCGGGGCGGTGTAGGCCGGCCCTAGGCTTGGGGCTCTGGGAAACGGAGGAACCCCGTTCACGGGCCTGGTGGGAGGAGCAGCGCTGCTGGGGAACGGGAGCGGTGGCAGCGCAGGAGCTGGAGGGAGCGGAGCTCCCGGGGTGCGGGGACGCGAGGGGGCGTTTCGGGGTAACCTGACAGTGTTCAAAGTCAGGTTGGACACAGGGGCTCGGAGCAAGCTGCTCCAGTGGAAGGTGTCCCTGCCCGTGGCAAGGATTGGAACTGGATGAGCTTTAAGGCCCTTTCCAACACAAACCAGTCTCCATGCACCCTGGTGAGGCCACCCCAGCGTGTCAGTGGCCTAGGCTTGGCAAAGCACTGCTGGGGGGGTGTGGGGGGGTGAATGGTGCTTCCTTCCCTGTTCCCGAGCAGGGATCGGGCTGGGAGAGCTGGAGGGGGTGCATCCATCAGGCAGGCTCTGAGCACTCCCTTTCCTCCTGTTCTCCAGATGAACCGTTCTCCAACCCCCTGGCCCCTGATGGCCACGATGTGGACGACTCGCACTCCTTCCACCAGTGAGTCCAGCGCTGGGGCACTGGGGTGGGAATGGACCAGGGCTGTGGGGCCTGAGCCTGATTGCCTGGTCTAGAGGCTGGAGTGACTGCTGCAGTGCAGCCTTCGGGCTCCCTCCATGGGACCCGCGTCCGACCCCATCACAAACCCTCTGCCTCCTCGGAGGCTGTCAGAACTCACTGGGGGATCATGGTTTCTGTGTCCTCTGCTTCTTGCAGGTCCAAGCTGACCAATGAAGACTTCAGAAAGCTGCTCATGACCCCGCGGGCTGCGCCTACATCTGCGCCACCGTCCAAATCTCGCCACCATGAGTGAGTAGGACTCTGGTTCACAGGACAAAGCTTTCCCCTGGGCTCCATCCCAGCCTGTCCCTCTTCCCCCCTGCGCTCTGCAGTGAACTATCTAAAGGGACTTTTGATGGTGAATCTGAGGAGCAGACCTCACCCTTGCTCAGTGCTTGGATCCATGCAAGCTGTAAATGTGTTAAGTGGAGAAACAGGAGGGTCAGGACTGCTGTAAATAACAGAGGAGTCTTGTATAGCTGTTAAGATGCTTTATGCAGGAGGCAGATTTAGGTTTTGTTTGGTGAAAATCGGTTTTTTCCTTTCCTCTCCCTGCTGACAGAGTGGAACTGGAGAGGCTTGGAACTGGATTGTTCCCATCTTTGAGCATCTTGGTGCTCTGCTGTGTCCTAGGGACTGCTGTGTAGCTGCATGGGTTGGACTCTGCAGACTGTATCTGTGATCTCACCCTTTTGCAGGATGCCCCGGGAGTACAACGAAGATGAAGACCCTGCTGCTCGCAGGAGGAAGAAGAAAAGGTAAATGGGGAAAGCAGTTCATCAGGGATTGTCTTTACACATCACATCCCTCCCATGGGAGCAGCTTCTGAGCTCTTGGGCTACCAAAGAGGACCCTGAGTAGCCTGGGTTATTTTGGGGTTTGGAGCCGGGCAGAGTGAGAATCGCTCAGACTCAGTGTCTGTCACTGCCTGTGGGAGCAGATGTGGGATGCAGCAGCAGGGTGGGTATATCTGTAAGAAGCACAAGAGGCTCTACAGGTGTGTGGCAGGACATCTGCACTGGTGGCAGTGGTTCTGGGACACACCTGTACAGCTGGACTGCTTTAACCCCTTCCCTTTGGAAGGAAAGACTGTGTTCCTCGTCAGTTAGGCTCAGTACAGCAGTTTCATCTTGTCTGGTGTTTTCCAGGTGTATTGTGTCTCAGTGCTTTAGGAAGGTTTTGGGGGAAGGGCTTGGGAGTAGGACAAGCATGTGTGGGGCCTCAGGGGCTGTTACCTGATGGGTGCATCAAAAGTGTGACTGTGTCTCTAACCCTGAGCTCTTTGTCCAACCCAGCTATTATGCCAAGCTGCGCCAGCAGGAGATCGAGCGCGAGAGGGAGCTGGCTGAGAAGTACAGGGATCGAGCCAAGGAGAGGAGGGATGGTGTGAACAAGGACTACGAGGAGACAGAGCTGATCAGCACAACTGCCAACTACAGGGCTGTGGGCCCAACGGCAGAGGCGTACGTGAGCCTGTGGCATGGTCTTGTCTTGCCGTTGCTCCAGTGGGGCTGGTCTCGTAACTGGCTCAATCTGTGTCACACAGGGATAAATCTGCTGCAGAGAAGAGAAGACAGTTGATCCAGGAATCCAAGTTCTTGGGTGGTGACATGGAGCACACCCACTTGGTGAAGGGTCTGGACTTTGCGCTCTTGCAGAAGGTGAGCACAGAGACCACTGTGCTGCTGCTCTGCCCTGCCCGCTCCCATGGGCAGAGGGCAGTAGCTGCCACTTCCAGGGGCTTCCATCTTGCCAGTGTGGATTTGTCTTTCTGAGAACGATCTCTGAAGGGTTGGGGAGCTAGTGGAAGGGTTGGGTTTACTGGTTCTGATGGGCAGCAGAGGCGTGGATTGGTCTGTAATATGTGGATTTATTTGTGGCCAGGTACGGGCTGAGATTGCCAGCAAGGAGAAGGAAGAGGAGGAAATGATGGAGAAGCCCCAGAAAGAAACTAAGTGAGTGGTTGAGGATTTGAACTCCTGAGTGCAGCTGCCTCCTGGAGAGGAGGATTTGAACTCCTGAGTGCAGCTGCCTCCTGGAGAGGAGGATTTGAACTCCTGAGTGCAGCTGCCTCCTGGAGAGGAGGATTTGAACTCCTGAGTGCAGCTGCCTCCTGGAGAGGAGGATGCAGAGATGTGCTTAGCATAATGATTGTTTGTTTCTTTGCTGCATCTGTTCAGGAAAGATGAAGATCCTGAGAATAAAATTGAGTTCAAGACCCGGCTGGGTAAGACTGGGTGGATGTGGCTGTTCCTCACTTTGTGGTGCGTGAATGTGGGAGAAATGCTGGAGGGTGAATGAAAACCTTTAGTCACTGGAGGGGGAAAGGCTTGAGGTGCAGATGTCCTGAATTTGAGGGCTGGAGGAAACGTGTCTCTTAAGAGGTGATTCTCCTATTTCTGATAAACTAAATATGCATCATTATGGGCTTGTCCATTGCTCTCTCACACCTTTCCCTCTCCCTCAGGTCGCAACATCTACCGCATTCTGTTCAAGAACAAGGCCTATGAGCGGAATGAGCTGTTCCTGCCGGGCAGGATGGCCTATGTGGTTGATCTGGATGATGAGTATGCAGACACCGATATCCCCACCACGCTGATCCGCAGCAAGGCTGACTGTCCCACCATGGAGGTACCTAGCTAGCATCCCGGGTCTGAATTGGCCTGAGCAGGTCTTGCCAGGAAGGGTTCTCTCTCAAGGGAGTCAGATTCATCCTTGGGGATTTCTCTTTCAGGCACAGACCACGCTGACCACCAATGACATCGTCATCAGCAAACTGACGCAGATCCTCTCCTATCTCAGGCAAGGGACCCGCAACAAGAAGCTCAAGAAGAAAGACAAAGGTAGGAGCTGAGGGGAACCAAGTAGCAGGACTTAATGCTTGAAGCATATCCCAAAAGAATGAGGTGTGCTTTGGTTTGCTGCCTTCTTCTGTGCCTTGTGGTGATGGATTCAGATGACAGAGATTTCCTAAGGCTTCCCATGCGCTTCAGATGTCCTGAAGGCAGGCTGCTCTGTGCAGCTGGGACATTATAGCTGTGAGGGTGTCTTGTGCTGCTCTGCTCTTCCTGGTTAAGACCAGGAAGTTAAGACCTTAAGTTCAGACCTGGTTAAGACCCTGAGTTCCTTAGGGAAGTGTCCCCTGCTTTGGGGAAGGACAGAATGGTTTCCTGAAGGGGCCAGATATGCTGTGGTAACTGAAGAGGAAGTCAGGACATCCTCCAGGCCTGCCACTCTTGGGGCTTGGAACCAGACTGGGGACAGGGAAGCAGTACAGGTGGCAGAGTGCATGATGTGTCTCTCGTTGCTGTTGTGTCCTTGCAGGGAAGCTGGATGAGAAGAAGCCCCCTGAAGCTGATATGAAGTAAGTGCCTCCCTGTCCCAGGCTGTGGGGTCATAGCTCTCTGCCTTAAGGAATGTCTTTCTGACACACAACATCTGGAGAGGGCTGGGTTTAGTGTCTGTAGAGCGAGCTGCTTATTCAGACCTGCAGTTGGTAGGACAAGGCTGGAGGCAAGCTCTGTTTAATGGTTTCAGGCTTGAGGCAGGCAAGGGCTTTCTGTTGTCCTGGACCACAAGAAGCAGATCCAGGCAGCAGAAGAGAGCAGAAACGCAGTGATGCCTGTGACAAATATAGAAGCCAGTTCTAGTGGATGTCCTCAGCTCTTGGTGTTGATGCAACAGCTCCATTATTAGGCTCCAGTTCAAAGGGAGGCGGTTGTGGCTTCCTGTCTTGCAGCACCCATAATGGACATTCTTTCCCACTTCCAGCATCTTTGAAGACATTGGGGATTACGTGCCCTCCACTGCAAAGATGCCCCGGGAGAAGGACCGGGAGAGGTACCGTGAGAGAGAACGGGACAGGGACCGGGAGCGGGACAGGGATCGAGAACGGGACAGGGACCGGGAGCGCGAGCGGGACCGCGACCGGGAGCGGGAGGAGGAAAAGAAGAGGCACAGCTACTTTGAGAAGCCCAAGGCTGATGATGAGGTGAGCCTCTGCTCGGGAAGCCTGGACTGTCCCACCTGAACCCTGTGCTCTGGACAGTGCAGCCGTGGGGTTGGTGGGGTCACTGGTGGCTTTGGGTGCCTCTGGTCATGCTCCCACATGTGCCAGTGTTCAGCTCCTGCTGAGCTCTGTCTGTCCAGTCACGGGCTGCTGGGTGGCTGGGTGCTTGTCCTCTCCTTCAGTAAGGCAGGACTCGCACAAGCGTGGAGCTTTCATGGTTCAGGTCTGTGTGCTTGCCACAGAGAGTCCTAAAGCAGAGTTCCCAAGTCACGCAATGCTGTCTCTTGCCTGCTTTCACGGGCCCGGGTGACATGTATCTCTCCCTTTTCTTTGCAGCCCACAGACATCGACAAAGGTGAGTCAAGTGGTGTGGGTGCTTGAATGAGGCTGGATGGTTGAGTGAGGCCATCTGGGGTTGCGGGTTTCTGCTTGGCTCCCTGGGCTGCCGGAGCCCCCTTTTCTCCCAGAGATGGCTGTGGTGGAGGGGATTGTCTGCAGTGAGGGTTTTGGGGTGAAGAGTCTTGTGCCTGCACGCTGCTGCATGACACCCTGGGTTGAGGGCCTGTGCAGATCCTTCCCTGGCAGCAGACCAGCTCAAACAACCCTCTTCTGGCTGCAAGCTGAGGAGGATTTGGGGTGTCCCTGGACCAGCCCATGCTTGTCTGTGCTCAGACTGATCTGCTGCTCCTCACTGTTCTCCTGGCTTCTCTACCTCCTATGCAGCCTGTCCTGCCTGTTACCCATCCCAAAGAGTTTGTTGTGCTGAAGTGGGCTCTGCCCAGCCCCATGTGTGTTGTGGTGAGCTGTTTCTCCCCAGAACTCAGCCTGCTGCTCTCTCTACTCAGGACCCGGCTCAGCCAAGGAGCTCATCAAGTCCATCAATGAGAAGTTTGCTGGAGCCACTGGCTGGGAAGGAGCAGAGACATATCCTTTACTGTCTGCCAGTCTGGCCTTGCCTGAGCATAGCTGCGTGGCTCTTCTTCCTCTTAGGGAGGCTCTTCTTCCTGTAGCAGAGAAATGCCACCCAAACCTTACTGCTCATGTGCCAAATACAAGCTCTGCAGCCTCCGGTTTGGTTCTGTTGGGGCAGGATGTGGCTGTTGTGCTGTCTGTGCTCAGCCTGCAGCTGTAAGGCTTCCTGATGGTGCTTTCCTTGACTGTTGTCACATTGAAGAAGCCAGAAGACAAGAAGCAGTTGGGGGACTTCTTCGGCATGTCCAACAGCTACGCCGAGTGCTACCCTGCCACGTAAGGGAGCAGCAGGAGACTGGGGGTTGGGAGCAGGGGATGCTGAGGGGCTGCTGTTCTCTGGCAACAAGACCTTCAACATCAGCCCCACTGCGTGCTGGGAGGAGGTCTGGCTTTGTATAGGGTTGCAACCTAGTTAAAATGATCCTCATATCTTTGGTTCTGGCAGAAGTGGGTTTTTCGTATCTGGTCTCTGCTGTAAGTGGCTGCCTGGAGTTTGCTGCTGGGAAAGGCTGAGGTGGTTGGGGGTCTGCTTGGTTCCCTGGTCACTCACGTGCTCATTGAGCTCTGGCCACAAAAGAGGAACAGCTTTCAGCCTGCAGTGTCACCTTAGGAGCATTTGCAGTCTTGGATGCTCTGTGGTCCAGCTCAGCTGCAGGGCTTGCAGCTGAGGAACTTCCCTCTAGTCCAGGAACTGAGGCCATGACAGACCTGGCTTCAAGGTTCTTATCTGTGACCCATGGACCCACTCTAAGCCTTTTGCTTGCTTTGCTGTTTTATAGAATGGATGATATGGCTGTGGACAGTGATGAAGAGGTGGACTACAGCAAAATGGATCAGGTATGTTGGGACCAGGCAGTGAACTGAGCATCCATGCCGGATCCCACTGGAGAGAAAAGCAGGCGTGTGTGGAGGGGCTGAATGCCCTGGGGCTGGATGTTTGGTGTGTTTGGGGTTTGCTGATTTGCTGTGTGTGCCTGGGTGGGATCTGGCATCCCAGTTTGCAGCTCAGGAGTTGCTCTTGAGTCTCTTTCTCTGCAGGGTAACAAGAAAGGACCCCTGGGCCGCTGGGACTTCGACACCCAGGAGGAGTACAGTGAATACATGAACAACAAAGAGGCTCTGCCCAAGTGAGTGCAGCCCTTGGGAAGGGCTGAGCAAGGATTCTGGCTGGGGGGTGGCTGTGGTGGCCAAACCTGGGTCCGGGGGGGCTGAAACACAAGAAGTGGGTTCCCTAGGGAGGAGCTGTGGAGCCTGGGGCCTGGTGGCTTCTCTTTGCTCTTAGGATCGCTCTTGAGGCCTCCTGCCCAAGTGGCTGCTTTTAGGGGTCCAAGCCAGTGCTGAGGTACAGGCTCAAGGCTGGGGCAGGCTGTGGATCCCCTAGAGATACTGAGCTCTCTCTTGCTCCTTCCCCAGGGCAGCATTCCAGTATGGGATCAAGATGTCTGAGGGACGCAAGACCCGTCGCTTTAAGGAGACAAATGACAAGGCAGAGCTGGACCGGCAGTGGAAGAAGATCAGTGCGGTGGGTGCCTGGTGCTGGGCTGTCATCGGGTCAGACCATGAGCTCCCACCTCAGCTGCCCTGGTCACAGCTCCTCAGCCCCTGTGCTGGTGTGTGTGTGGGTGCATGCAGCAGGGCTGGCTCTCTAGAAGCTGGATTTGCTCCTTGCAAGAGCACTGGGCAAAGATCTGGGGCTCCAGCACTGCAGAGGCAGCTGGAGCTGCATTTGCAGCTCTTGCCCTGGGAGCAGTCCCAGCTGGGGCTTTTTGCTCTGGGCTCTACAGTAGATGAACATGTCTAAAACTGGCAGCCTGGAACCATCCAAAGGGGCTTGGATGGGACAAAGCATGCTTAGTGGCTCCACTTCCTAACCAGCAAAGCTGGAGGCTGTGCTGGCAGTGCGAGCTGGCCATGAGCACCCTAGCACCGTGGGATGGGCATGAAGAAGGTGAGAACAAAGGGTCTTTGGTGGCCAAAATGGAGCAAAGGGGGGAACAGGCCCAGATTCTCCAGACTTTGGGCAGCTTGCAGACAATTTCAGCTCACCTCAGTTTGCTCTGGCCTGGCGACAGCTGTCCTTGGGTGTATCTTGCACCCTTCAACCCCTCTGCTGTGGCTGTGGGCAGCCAGAATCCTGAGGGTAATGGGACTTTGTGCTTTCTCTGCAGATCATTGAGAAGAGGAAGAAGCTGGAGGCTGATGGGTAAGTTCTAGTAGAGTCGTCTCTGCTCTTAGCTTAGGGCAGTGCTGGGGCTTGACTGGCTCCTGACACCTCACCCAGGGGCTGTGGGGAGCAGAGACCGCCCCAGTGGGGCTGAAAGGAGAGTGGAGAACATTCAGTCCCTTCAGTGTGTTGCTGCTCTGCTCAGCTTAACAGGACCTGGGCAAGGGAGTGTGATGGATTCTCTGCCCTGCATCCTCACCACCATCCTGCCCCTCTGTCTCTTCCAGGGTTGAGGTGAAACGTCCCAAGTACTGATGTCTCCAGTATCTTCTCCTCCAGCTCCTGGAACCCGAGCCTGCTGGGTGACCCTGAGCTTGTTGGTGTACTGTCCTTGTCCCCCATATCCTCTACTTTCTGGGCTGGGCAGCATGTGTCCCCACAGCCTTGTGCTTTGGGGTGAGCAGAGGCTCTTCCCTCCAGTGTCTGCTACAGCCCCGTGGTGTGTAAATGTTGTTTGTAGATGTAATAAAAGTACATTAACTTTGTGTGAGTAGCTGTTTGTGTGGGCAGAGAGACAGGGCCTGGGCTCCCTTATTGCATCCACCCAGCCCTGCTGGCTCTCATGGCCTGAGCTCTAGGTCAGTATTTTGGGGATATCCCTGGATGAAATCAGTACCTAAACTGCTTTGGGGGAGCAAATTCAAGATGAGGAACCTCTCTGTAAGTGTATGGAGAAGAAAGGGAACCCTTGCATGAGGTGGAGCAAGAGGAATGGCCCAAAGCAGAGCATCTGTATTGCTTCCACTGTCCAAGCTCTGTGCTGATGTGCTGCGTCTAGCACAGGAGCGATGATTGCTCTGATCAGTGGCAGGGTGGGTGTGATGGGGTGAGCACTATGCAAAGCAGGGTCAGCAGGGACCATGGAGAGGATAGGGACACTGCTGGTGGTCCCTGGCTGCACTGGGGCCCTGAACAGGATCTCGGTGTGCCCCACCAGCCCCAGGCCTTGAGAGGGGCTGAAGTAACACCCGTCACTGTTCTTGTTCCCTGGGATGCAGAAGGAGGCGGCCATGGTGCTCCTCTGTGGTGCCTTAACAAGAGAAAGCTCTGGAGAGACCTTAGAGCAGCTCCAGTGCCTAAAGGGGCTCCAAGAAAGCTGGAGAGGGGCCTTGGACAAGGGCCTGTAGGGACAGGACAAGGGGAATGGCTTGAACCTGCCAGAGGGGAGACTGAGCTGAGCTCTTAGGCAGAAGCTCTTCCCTGTGAGGGTGCTGAGGCGCTGGCACAGGGTGCCCAGAGAAGCTGTGGCTGCCCCATCCCTGGCAGTGTTCAAGCAGCTCCACGAGAGGGCGCCCTGCGGCGGCGGATGGGCGGTGTCATGCAAATGAAGGGGCGGGGCTATGCTAACGAGTCCCGCCCTCCCCCGGCCGCCATGGCGGAACCGGCAGAGGTGAGCACGCGTGGGGCTGCGCGGCCCCGGCGCCACAGGCGCCAGCAGCCCCGGCCCCACCGCCCCGCTCTGTGCCCCCCAGGAGAGCGCGGAGCCCGCGGAGAGGGAGCCGCGGCTGCGGGACACCCCCGAGGACATCTGCTTCGAGGCGACCGCCAACGCCATCGCCCTGCACCCGGCCCGGCCGCTGCTGGCGGCGGGGGACGTGGACGGCGATGTCTACCTGTGAGTGAGCGGGGCCACGGCGGTGTTCGTGGGGGGGGGTCCCGTGTGCAGCAACCGCCGGGCAGCGGCGCTGAGCCCAGCCCGCTCCGCAGGTACTCGTACTCCTGCACCGAGGGGGAGAACCGGCAGCTCTGGTCCTCGGGGCATCACCTCAAGTCGTGCCGGGACGTGGCCTTCTCCCAGGACGGGCAGAGTGAGTACAGGGAACACGGGGCGGCAGCGGGGTGCGGGGGGCACCGGGACTGCGGGTGCTGATGTAGCTCCCCAGAGCTTTTCACCGTGTCCAAGGACAAGTCCATCCACATCCTGACGGTGGAGGAGGGACGGCTGGAAACGCGCTTCCCCAAGGCACACAGGTAGGTCCGGGGGGGTGAGGCTCTAGCCAGCGATGTCCCCTTCCATCCTCTGCCAGGGCCGCGCAGGCAGAGGCTGGAGCATCATCAGCGATGTGAGTGTGACTGTGCTGCCATGGGGCCGGGGTCTCTGCAGCTCGGCCCTCAACTGCGTCCTGCCCATCGATACCAACGTCTTTGCCACGGGCGATGACAACGGGGCGCTGAAGGTGTGGGACCTGCGCAAGGGGGATGCAATCTTGGAGGCCCGGGAGCAGGAGGAGTACATCAGCGCCATGGCTGTGGATGGTAACGGGAAGCTCCTCCTCACTGCCAGGTACTCGTGGCTCTGCGGGCTCCCACATACCCACACAGGTCAAAGACTCACAGCATGGTTTGGGTTAGAAGGGGCCTTAAAGTTCATCCAGTTCCAACCCCCTGCAGAGGGAGAGAACCCCTCCCTGAGCTGCTGCTCATGCTCTGGGGGTGCAGCCCAGCATGATGGAGGGGGGGGTGTCTGGGCTCAAGCACACACTGAAGCTGGGTCATAGGGAGCTTATTCTCACTCAGCAACCCCAAGTCCTTTTCAGGGCTGCTCTCAGTCTTATTCCTGCCCAGCCTCTACCTGTGCTTAGGATTGCCCCAGCCCACTTAGGAATGCACTTGGCTGTCCCTTAGGTTCTTCCCTTAGGGCTGGGGGAAGCGCCCTGCACCATCTCCCAAGCTCACCCCATGCTGCTTCCATCTCCCACAGTGGTGATGGCACCCTGGGTGTCTTCAATGTGAAGAGGCGTCGCTTTGAGCTACTCTCAGAGCCGCAGAATGGGGACCTCACGTCTGTGGTGCTGCTGAAGGTGGGTGCTTGGCCCTGCCATGAAGCAGGATCCTACATTCACAACTAGTTTGTGTTGGAAGGGATCATAGTTTATCCAGCTCCAGCCCCCTGCCATGGGCAGGGACACCTTCCACTAGAGCAGCTTGCTCCAAGCCCCTGTGTCCAACCTGGCCTTGAACACTGCCAGGGATGGGGCAGCCACAGCTTCTCTGGGCACCCTGTGCCAGCGCCTCAGCACCCTCACAGGGAAGAGCTTCTGCCTAAGAGCTCAGCTCAGTCTCCCCTCTGGCAGGTTCAAGCCATTCCCCTTGTCCAAAGCCCCCCTCCAGGTTTTTGTAGGTTCCCTTAACTCTTGAAGGCTGTAAGGTCTCCTGCAGATCCCTCTCCATGCCCTTTCTTGTCCTGCCTCTGCTTCACCATCCTCCATCTTTCCTAGAGGGGAAAGAAAGTGGCCTGTGGCTCCAGTGAAGGCACCATTTACCTCTTCAACTGGGATGGCTTCGGGGCCGCCAGTGACCGCTTTGCTTTGAGGGCCGAGTCCATTGACTGCATGGTCCCCATCACGGACAGCATCGTGTGCGTGGGGTCCCTGGACGGAGTCATCAGGTCAGGGGCGTCCGTGGGGTGGGTGTGGGACGATCTCAGCCCCGGTCGGTCACGGGCTGAGGCTGTGATGGGCCAGGATCCCCAGAGCTCCCCCCATCCGCAGGGCAGTGAACGTCCTGCCCAACCGCGTGCTGGGCTGCGTGGGGCAGCACCTCGGGGAGCCCATCGAGCAGCTGGCGCTGGCGCCGGGCGGGCAGCTCCTGGCCAGCTGCGCCCATGACCAGAAGGTGAAGTTCTGGGACGTGTCTGCGCTGGCCGGGCTGGTGGTGGACGATTACCGCAAGAAGAAGAAGAAAGGGGGGCCCCTGCGGGCGCTCAGCGGGAAGGCGGTGGGCAGCGGAGAGGACTTCTTTGCCGACCTGCGGGAGGAGCCTGAGCCGGAGGCGGCACCAGGGAGCGACAGCGACAGCGACGGTGGGGACTGAGGGGATGGGAGCGCAGGGTTGGGGTTCCAGGCATGGGGGAGGTGGCTGCAGCCCCCAGTGAAAGGGTTCTGGGGTTCATGAGTGAGGATCCCTGGTGGATGGAGGGGCTGGGTCTGAGATGGGGTGGGGGATGTGGATGGGGATCCAGCCCTGGGAGGGGAGTGCGGTGTGGGTGTAGGAAAGTTGGGGTTTGCTGGTGTATTTGGGGGTGTTGGGATGGGGGGGGGAAAGCAGAGCATTGCTCAAGGGGCTGGAGGGTGATGGGGTCCTGGGGTGCCTGGCCAAACAGGTCCACCCCTTACCTCAGGCCTTGCCTGACCCTGCAGTGCTGTCCAAGCAGGTGTGTGTTAATTATCTTTTGTTAATTAATTTATAGATCAGCTCTATTGCAAATAAACCCAGTGCCTTTCAGTTCCTAGTGCCTTGTGCTGATGTTGTGGCTCACCCCAACTTCCCCATTACATCCAGGACCTGCCTGTGGGGCACTGGGGATAGAGATGGGGATGGCAGGAGGGAGAGCATCGTGTGCCTGGGCGCCCTGCCTTGTCATAGGCAGTGGCTGGTTCCTGCTGGGCTGAGGGGGGGGTGCAAGCTGTGTGAGCATCCAGGGCAAGGTTTTAAACTGAAACGGGAGGTATTAGGATGCTCTTCCCTGTGAGGGTGCTGAGGCGCTGGCACAGGGTGCCCAGAGAAGCTGTGGCTGCCCCATCCCTGGCAGTGTTCAAGGCCAGGTTGGACACAGGGGCTTGGAGCAAGCTGCTCCAGTGGAAGGGGTCCCTGCCCGTGGCAGGGGTTGGAGCTGGATGAGCTTTAAGGTCCCTTCAACCCAAACCAGGCTGGGATTCTGTGATTTATCACCAACACGGGGTCCAACCTGCCCCAGTGCAAGGCAGGGACCTCCGAGCCCACAGGAGCTCTCAGAAGCAGAGGTGTGCAGAGCCAGTCAAGCCATGCCAAACAGACTGAGCTCCATGGGCCATGTCCCAAAGCTCTGGGAGGCTGCTGGGGCACTATAGAAGGCAGTGGTTCACCAGTGTTGAGCACAGAATGGCTGCTGAAGGACACGTGAAGGCACTTCAGAGTGCCCTGGTGCTGTACTATGAGGCACCTGGGCAGCACAGGAAAGCACATGGAGTTTCCTTAAGTGCACCAGAAGACACCTGGGTGCATACTGAACCCAGAAAGACCCTTGGAAGGCTCTAGGGGCTAACAGCAACGTACCTGGGTGCTCAGCACAGGAGATGGGACTGGCAGAGTTCTGTACTTGGAGGCACCCAGGTATGCCCTGGAACGCACTTGGAAGCCACCAGTGCTGACCATCAACCAGTTGCAGACCCCATCCCTCCTGCAGCTGAAGGCAGGCTTCCTCGTGGGGGGCAAAGGACCAAGATGGTGCCAGAGAGGCAAGGAGGTGGGAACAGAACAGGACTGGACACAGTGAGTGCTTTCCAGGCTACTTTAATCCCAGTGAACAGTGCAGCCGGACCTCCCGGTCCTGAGGGATCATTCATAGGCAGCCGGGCCCCACGGCTGCTTCCCTGCAGAGCAGACAGCCCTGCACAGCCCCAGACACTGCGGCACTGCCTGCCTACACCAGCTCCAACAGCACAAGAACAGCCCCCACGGGCTGCTCCTCAGGCACCAGACACAAAGCAGACGGGGCCCCACCGAG